GTCTTCATAAATATGGGGGGGTGGCAGAAGTAGGAGCTGCACGAGCTGTGCGCCACGAAGGTTGTAGTTGGTCATTTAGGCCATAGTGATGAGCTGTAATGACGTCTGTAGGTCGTAAGGGCATTAGTCGGGGGCTGCATGAGCTGTGAATCATGTAAGCCATAGTGATGAGTTGCGTGACATACGTAGGCCGTAGTGCTGAATTGTGTGACATATGTAGGCCGTAGTGCTGAATTGTGTGACATGTAGGCCATAGTGGTGAGTTGGATGACGTCGTTAGGCCACAACAGTCAGAGTAGGAAGCCACACAAAGGGAGCTTTAAGAGTTTGAAGAAAATCACCGTTTTTGTGGTGTATTGTTACGCTATCTTTGGGAGGTGTCGTTGCATCGTAAATGGAGTGTGTTTTTTCTTTGTAATGTATGTTAGTGTCTCACAGTGCACATTGTGACTTCACAATGGGCTTCGCTGCAAGGAATAGATGGTAGCTGATGATGGTCAGTGGTGGCCTGCGGCTGTAGTCTGCCGAAGGCGGCTGTGTCCAAAGTTGACCGGATCTACGATGCAAGATGCGGTGCTGTATCTCCCTCTTCAACAGGCTATGGTTTTCCGCTTGCATAGGGTCTCGTTCCTCCCTCTTGATTGGTTTATGACTCTATTTATAGAATCTATGTTACAAATAACGAAAAAAATCTGAACCACTTTTGATCACCTCAGAGAGATCCCCTTGTTCAGGGAGCATTTGATGGGCATTTTAGTGCCTTAATGATATCAAAATTAGCGATCTTGAGCTTATTGGATTTGTCTGGTCGAGACGCTTGATTTGACAATAGACATGCCATATTCGGAATCCGTTAAACCTTCAAATTATTGCCCGTAAAGCTTTCAAATGTCATTTAATGGCTTGATCTGGACTTGATTCCACTCGGATTGGACCAATTTTAGTGTCTTTGGGTCCGGTCTTGTCGAGTTGGTCTTGTCAGTAACTATAAGTTTGTTGAAATCGGAGTCTAGATATTTTTAATCGAGGTTTGAAAGTTTCTTGCTAAAAATATTCATCTCGAGATTCTTGTCATGCTTCGAGATTCATGTCGGATGGTGTAAATTTGTTGAATGCGTATCAGTACACTATGTTTCTAGTGAGCCAACTTGGCAGCTATATTCGGTTCTTCAGTACAATTTTTTCACGAACCAGTGATTGCCTTTTTTTAATTCCTTAGGTATTTACATATCTAACACCAAAACATTGATTTTAATATTTATAACACTCAATTTTTCATATCACCTGAACAATGCCACAATCACTAACGTTTAAAAAGTGAATTACACCTTTTAAAATAAAGATAAACTGATATAAATTTAAAAAATAAAAGGAAGAATTGTGTGGTGTTTATGTAAATCTTTCTAATTTTTTTAATGCCTTAGTAATAACATCTGTTAGGAGCGCAATTATTTCTGATCGTAGCTTTCATAACAAAATCACGATGATGCATTCGAACAGTTGACAGTGACGAGTAATTTCCTTTAACACGGTTTCAGAATTTTAGCGCCTTGTTTGTTGCTCTATTCTTGATACATTTGACAGGATAATACAACGAAACTACTGAGAGCTCCCAATCCTGGAACTAACATATATTGGCTCTGGTTTCAGGCTTTGATTCGCAAGTGGGCTCCTGTTGCTATCGTCATTGGGGTGGTGCTGTTGCTTTTCTGGGTTAAAAGCAAGATCTGGTGATAAATCATGGTTCTTATCCTCGTGGCGGCTCATTCATTCTTTCCAAAATTTTCATTTTCCAGATTATCGAGGATAAAACTGCTTACAGGCTTTGAAAAAATACTGGAAAGGCATGGAATTTGTGGGTAGAGTGCAGATTTCAATGGTTATTTATGGTTAACTGTGCACCACACTTGCTTCAACCTTGGGCTATGAGGATAACACAGGTTGGGCAACTATAGTATTTAGCTATGGGTGTTTCAGACATCTATTAATTTAATTTAATGAGGTCGATTCTTGCTTTATCAACTATATCTTTATGGATTCCTTCTATCAATGCATTAGACCCAACTTTTTAACATTACTAACCATATTGTGTTGTACAATTAAGATTGTCATTCATTCGGCTTGATAATTAGATAGAGTTTTATTGATTTTTATTTGCTCTTTTATGGAAGCCAAACAAAAAAACTATGATATATATATGAATGGTTGAAGACTATTCTACGAGCCCAGGCCGTCATCATCCCTAATGTGCCCAACTATTCGATTACCTCACCCTAAATGCATGGGGAAGCTAACTCTAGACCAAAGAGAACTTATAACGGACGAACCGATATATATATATAT